CCCAAATCCTTAACTAACGCCCGGAGCCGCCACGGGAAAAGCCCCAACAGACCTTTGCCACGTGGGTTTTTAGGGAGCCCACGTGCAAGCCAGGAAAACGGTTCCCACTTTCCTGGGTGGGTGACAGAGCCTTGGAGGGCTGCAGGGAACACGCAGGGACGCCCAATGCTTTCATAAGGAAGGGTTATACAACGGGACGGGTTAAAAACCACCGCGGGCAGGTTATATAAGTCATCTTTACAGAGTGAGAAGTACTCGACACCCAGGGCCCGCTCCCTGGCTCCCGCTCCGGGGTTTTGCCATCCCAAACGGGCCGGCTGCTGGGAGGGGGCTCTTTCCCCCAGGAGGAACAATTATTCCCGCACCCACAATATATTTGCTATATATGTATACATTAGTTATAATCCCACCTCCTTGAGCCGCGTGGGCACGAACGATGCATAAATCCTTTGTGTTAAGAAAGAAACCCAGCAATTCCCGGCGTGTTTTGAAACACAGGGCTCCTCCGGAGCCAAAGCAGGTTTCCTTGGAGAGGACAAGGAAATGCCAGGAGCAGCAACTCGCTTTCCTCCAAACGAAGGAGGAGCCCTGCCTGGAAAAAGGGAGGTGGCACTGGGAATGCTGCCAGCCCGGCTCGCGCATATTCCCGGCCCCAGGGCGCTTATCCCCCAGGATTTGAGGACCGCTTCATGTCGGAGTTAAGATCCAGAGCTGGAAAAAAGCAGGCGAGCCCATTTTCCCCATCGGATCCGCAAGGAAGAGCCGGCAGGAAGGTGCCTGCTGGCAGCCCGGGAAGCCTCGCATCCCGGGAACGCTTCCCACCGGCACCGGGACAGCAATCCAGCACGGGTATTTGCCACCCAAACCCAACGGGGCTTCCTAGAGTCAGCTTTATTTAAGCAAAGGGCAAAGACTTAACCTCAAACACATCAAAACAGGCATGCTTCTAGCCAGGCTCATTTTCTAAAAGCCAACCCGTTATTTATGAGCGCAGAACGTCTCAGCCGGGAGGGGATTTCACTGCAGCCCCCCAGCCCACCCGGCCGCCCGCTTTCCCACCTCGGCATCTTCCCTGTTTTCAGAGCCAGCCGCACACGCAGAATTACKTATGTCGAGCACAACTGCAGCTTATGGAAACAGCTCCCCAGCTGCGCCACAAAGTGAGCTTCTATCAGCAACTCGTACGTTGTGCTGCTCACGCCTGACTTTTCACGTCCGTGAATGTAAAGAACAACATTTTATTTATATATATATATATATATGATATATGGAACGTATTATTTCCCAACAGTGGGAATGAAACACAGAGGTTAGAGCTCCGCTGCTCCCTCAAGAGGCAGGTATAAATGTATAAATGCATGAATTCTCGGCCAGGAAAAGGTGTTTTGCCCCAATTTAAATATCCAAAAGCCTCTTCTTCAAAAAGTGATTTTTTTGCACAACCCTCTTGCCAAAATATCCCCTCTCTAGCGCTCGGCTCGTGCCCCTATGGTGCTTCCCTATGGCCACTTGYTATAGCGGTACTTGCACCCACCCTGCGGGGATCTTCCAACTTCTCTGACTTTAAAGCTATTTTTTAATATTAATGTGGCGTATAAGTAACCGGGAAGCCCACTGCAAGTCAGGAAGTCATCTCCTTTCCCTGCTGCTAAATTATTCCCTGCAATTGCAATTCTAAGCCGTGCCTGCTCTTTTACAGAAAGCGCTTGGAGCTGTTTTCCAAGCCCCGAGTGAGGGATCCACGGAGCAGGGCATTAAAGATTTACACTGGAGTTGTGCAACCGCCGGGGATGCTTTGGGAACGTGTTTACCTGCCGCTCCCGCCGGCCACATCCCACCGGCCGGAGCCTCACGCCCGTTTCGGGAATGGGAGTTATCCGCGTCCGGGAGCGCTGGGCATAACGATCCGCTCTGCGTGACGGCTCGGGAAGCGCGGAGCTCCCGAGGAACCAGCACAGCCTCCAGCTCACCCACGTTCACACAACACCCCCTCGTCTGACGGCACCAAAAGAAAAACCCATTTAGGTAAAAACTGCTAAAACACAGCTCTGTTTCTCCCTGTCCTCACCGGGCAGGTGATTCTCCGCACACTTTATTACAGAGCGCTCTCTTCCGAGCCAGGAACGACAGCAGCAGGGAGAYGACTCGCGAGATGGACAGAAATCCCAATCCCGAGACACCTTCCACCGAGCTCTGGGCAACCCGTGTCCTGCCGCGCCGCTCTCACGCACAGCATCTTCACAAGCCCGTAATTAAAACCCACCTAATTACACAGCACCGTGCCAATGTTCCCCAACAATACGCTTCGGTGCAGGCTTTCCAGAAGCCTCCTTCTGGCAGCCCTTGCTCACCCTGTTTAGTTTCCTTGACATTAAAAGATTGGGATTTTTTCCTCCTTGAGGATTGTCCTTTTCCAGTTCTTCTTAGTGGGAGAGTTTTTACTAGCACTGGGAAAGGACTTTGAAATAACCCAAATACGTAGGTGCTGCACAGAGCTGGGAAGCTGGAATTCCCTTAGTTTTAAAAAAGCAATCCAATCTAATGAAGAGGGCGAGGAAGCAGCAGCCACGCGTTTTCCCTGCTGCAGGGCAGGGACCCCAAGCACTTTGGGCAGAGCCAGCGGTAACTCTCCCCATCCCAAAACATCTTCCTTTGCACRCATTCCCCCCCGGACAAAGCAATGCTCCGACTTGCAGCCTTGCCCCGGAGATGCCTCCTCTCCCTTMGGCATCACTGGCAGCCCAAATCTTCCCAAATTACCACTGGATTTGGGGCAGGAGCCCCTGGGAGGCYGCCCAGGCCGCCTGGCGAGGTCCCTCGTCCCCACGGCACCCTCCTCATCCCYGCAGCCCCCCTCAGTGCCCCAAGGCGCGGGGGCCGCAGGAGCCGCCACCTCCGATCGGAGGATTCAGCAGGAGCCGTCGCCTCCRCCCAGTTCCCCAGAAACCTGCCTGCTTTTCCCTCTTCTTGGTGCCATCACAGGAGCTCTGCTCGTTCTGCTCGTCRCGAATCTCCGCAGAGCCTTCCAGAGATGCAATGGTGCCTCCGTCCACCAACCGCCTCCTTCGCGGTCGGCCCCGCTCCAGGCCCCTTCCTTCTCCTGGTGACTGCCTTTTCCCACCCCATCCSCACTGCCCACAGCCCCCATTGCGGGTTCCCGATCTGCCTCATGCTGCTCCTCCATCGCGCCCCGTTCCTGACACTCCAGCCCCGCTCCCAGACGCTCTTAGCGCTGCAGAAGGAAAACAGTCGTTCCTCCCAGTCCCCCTACTCCGAGTTTTAACCCTCTGTGGGCACTTCCTCTGCTTACGCGCCCTCCGGCCGCTGTACTGTGTCTGCCACCAGGAATAAAAACCCATGTGTTTCAGACCGCAATCCTCAACGCGCCCAATCAAAACGGAAAGCAAATCCTTAGCTAAAATTCGGACRGGAGACTTCGCCCTTTGGGCGCAGCAGCTCGCAGCTCTGCGGAGGCCGCGGATGAAGGGCAGGTTGMGGAGGTGCGGCCGGCCCTCGGATGGGTCTGCGCTGCCTTCCCGCCACGCACAGGGCCGGCGCGGCGAGGGCAGCACCACGGCTCCCGCACACGCCGTGCCGCCGAGCAGCAACCCCAGCTCCTAGCACGGATTTGGTCCCCCGACGGACGCCCCAACTCCACCTAACGGCTCTTTACGCAAAAGTCGCATCTCAACAAACGTCACCTTCAAAACCCGACTCCCCCCAGTCCTCTTTTTGAGGAATGGGGCTGCGGCGGCTTCTCAGACGCAGCCTTTGGTGCGCCGCGCTCACCCYACGGAAGGGAGCTCCCCGCAACGGCAGCTCCGCCGCGGCGCCCGCAGCACCGACCGCCCTGCTCAATGCGCGCAGCTCCCGGCGGGGCACAAAGGCGGCCGGCGTCGGGGTGCGGAGCACAGAGCCTGGAGCACAGAGCGCGGCCGCCGTCGGAGCGCGGAGCCCAGAGCACAGAGCCCGGAGCGCGGCCGCCGTCGGAGCACGGAGCACAGAGCCCGGAGCACAGAGCGCGGAGCGCGGCCGCCGTCGGAGCGCGGAGCGCGGCCGCCGCCTCCCAGGGCTCTGCCAGCTCTGTTGCGGCGGCACCACCGCGCATCTGAACATGCAGTTACACCCGGGATAACCATAGGGAGACCATCCCGTTCACTGCTCCTAAGAGGACCGGAAAAGACAGCGGGAGCTTATAGGAAAAAAGAAACTTCGTTTTCCTCRGGTAACCCACAGTAATTAATCCAAATGAGGTTATATATTTGTGTTTACACTCTGCAGGATATTCCTGGTAGATGGCAAGAGAGGAAACAGCAGCACCCTGGCACAGAAGCCCCGTTCTGTGAGGGGTCTMTGCATTCGCACCAGGGAGAGGCAACGGGCGCCGCAGGTGCCGAGGGGCACGAGGTGGGACGGACACGGCGCGCGGCCCCGGACACGGCCGCACCAGCGGGAGGGCACGCTGGGCCRCCCGGCGCCCCACGGCTCGGGAACGGGTGATTTTCCGCACGCAGATCCCGCGGCCCGGGGGCRAACGTGGCCTCTCCACTGGGCCTCTCCACCGCGAGGGCCCAGGGATGAGCGGGGAAACCCGCCGGGCCCCCAGCCCCACGCGCACCCCCGGCAGCTGCAGACCGTCACGGGGCTCCCGCGGGCCCACATAACACCTCCTATAGACCGTATAGGCAGCTCCACGCGGACCCACGCAGGGCCCCACACGCCCCTTGTGCCAGCCCCACACCGCCCCGCCAGCCCCACTGCAGGTCCCCTCGGGCACCGCACGCAGCGGGACCCCTCGCAGCCCCACAGCCGGGCCCGTCAGCGCCGCACCGAGCCCCCGAGCCACACGGCGCTCCGCACAGGGGCTATCCCGCACCCACCACGCACGATGCGGTCCCCTCGGCCCCAGAGCGACCCCCCCGGCTCACAACCGGCCCCCGTCCCGCCGCGGGGCCCCGCCAGCCCCCGCAGGTGCCGCGCTCGGCGCCCCGCCGCCCTACCTGCCGCTGCCGCCCGCGCCCGCCGCGCCGCGCCGCGCCGCCCGCCGCGAGTGGCCCCGCGCGCCCGCGCCGGCCCGAGCGCCCCCGGCCGCCGCGCCGCGCCGCGCCCCTCCTGCCGCCTCCTATTGGCCGTCCGACATGCCCGTCTCGGCCCGCGACTCCCGCAGCCCCTTCTCATTGGCTCTGCCGGAGACCGTATGTAAATGAAGGGGGTTTCGCCCCGCCCCTGCCGTGCCCCGCCCCGCGCACTTGCCGGGCAGCGGCGGCGGGACCCGGAGCGGGACCCGGAGCGGGACCCGGAGCGGGACCCGGAGCGGGACCCGGAGCGGGACCCGGGCGGCCGTGCAGGGCCCGGGGGGCCGTGCAGGGCCCAGGGGACTATGCACTGCCCGGGGGGCCGTGCAGGGCCCGGGGCTCCATTCAGGGCTCGGGGGGACCGTGCAGTGTCCGCGGAAGCTGTGGAATGCTTGGGGGTCCATGCACAGCCCGGGGTGTCCGTGTAGTGCCCGGGGCAGGCTGGGCAATGCCCCGGGGTCGGTGCGATGCCCCGGGGGCACCGTGCGATGCTCCAGGGAGCTCTCTGCAATACTTGGGGCCTCCATGCGAGACCTGGGAGTCGGTGCTGTGCCCAATGGGCCTCGTGCAGTGTCTCTGGGGKGCTCTGTGCAATGCCATGACGGGGGGAATGGGGGGGTCCGGCCTCATGCAAGGCCCGGGGTGGGGTCCAACACTCCGCATCCCCCTACAGGACCCCGTTCACCCCATGCAGCACCCAAGGACTTCCAATCCGGACCACGGCACCCACCAAAACCGCGGCGCCGCTGGGAAGCAGAGCAGCAGCTTTTCCAAGGCTGGCACCTGGATTCTGCCGCTTTGCACCACTAAAACTGGCAGTCTCCTTGTTTCGCAGGAAATAATAATTAAAAAAGCAAAATACTTGGCACATGTCTTATTTGTAGGAGTCCTTTGGAGTTGGCTGCCTGTTGAAAAAGAAAATAAAAGTTCAAAAAGCTGGGAGAGTCACAGCTTGGCTTTCCTGGGGTCACCCCGACACGCCAGGGCCAGGCTGGAGCGGCCGGGATGCTCCAAAGCTCCTTAGGCAAAATTGGGGGCATTTTAAAGGAAGGGGAGCGTGTGTCCTCCCAGGACGYGGATAGGATGGAAAGGTGCTTTGCACCTGTGCAGGGTGCCGGGGCATTTTATCCTTGGAGAGTTTTATCCCTGGAGCATTTATCCCTAGATATTTTAACCTTGGAGTATTTTGTTCTTGGAGCAGTTTATCCTCACAGCATTTTATCCTTGTTGCATTTTTCTCCTCACAGCATTTATCCATGGCACATTTCACCCATGGAACATTTTATTCTGTGGAGCATTTTATCCCTAGAGTGTTTTATTTCTAGAGCGTTTTCTCCTTGGAGCATTGTGTCCCTGGAGGGCTTTATCCAAGTGGCATCTGGGTGCTGCAAAACTGGGACATGCCAGGCAGAGGCTTGGGTGCTCCAGGAGCAGCTGGGAAAAATCCTCTAAAAACACCCAAATCAGAGCTGYGACGGGGTCCATGTGGGGTGAAATGCTCTGAAGGCATCTTGCAAAATGCTCCGTGCCTCCACGCACTGCGTGGGGGTCCCAAACGTGCCCTCTCGCTGCCTCCTGTAACCCAAGCTCTGAGGAAATCTGCTTGTCGGGAGCCAGAAATCCCGTAAATAATCTCCCAAGGCAGTGCCCGCTGCCAGGGGGACGCGTTGTTCCCCCCAGCCATCCAGCTGGCTGCACATGTCCTGCCACCGCCCCGAGGCCTCCATCCCGCCCCGCGTGGAAGAAACAGCACGAAAAAAAAWCCCTGGAAAATCCCCGAGTGCCGAAAATCTGGGAGAGGGGATAATTTTATGCACCCRTGCCTTTCTCCAAAAATAACCCGGGTTAATTGGCCTTCAGCGCTGGGGAGTGAGCAAGGGGGAGAAGGGCCTCCCGCCCGGCTTGGCCTCAGAAACTGCATCACAGAATCTCGGTGCACGTGGCACATCAAAGGAAATCGTGTGTTTTCAGGTGTCTTCTATTACTTGCWTTTTCTTGGCTGCTGTCATCGCGCTCCCGGGTAAAGCGATGGCTCTGGGTGCTGAATCCCGGGTGGGAAGCGGCAAAGGGCAAAACTTGGCTCCCCACGGCTGGAAGGAGGAGAAGCTTTCCTGGGATATTTCACCCTGGAAAAACCATTACAATAAATTAATAAATAAATTAAATAATCAATAAGCAACTTGTGCTTGCAGACTGGCAGGTGGGATAGCCGGGAAAGGCTCCTTGGCCGCTCTGGGCGCTGCCGACGGGCTCCGCGGGGCGCGCAGCAGCAGGATGCAGMAGGACCTGCAGCGGATGAATCAAGCCTGGCTCTGGAGAGCGCTTGGCCCGGCGCCACTTCGAACACAAAGTACATTCCGGCCTGGACGTGGCAAAGTGCACTGAGCTCCCTTGGGYGCCAGGATGCTCCCATGGGCCCCAGGCACGCTGCTCCCGCAGGGATCCCACCCRGGGCTCCACTCGAGGAGCTTTGCAATGAGGGCGTCTCGCCACTCGCTTTGGGTGGTGTTTAACCGCTCCAAATAGATAATAACTGGATCTTCACAACGGAGGCAGCATCGTGGGGCGCGCGCGGCCGGCACGCACCTCCCCACAGAGAGCGGGCGCCCCGGGCTGCGGTGAAGCCGCGCGGGCGCCGGCGCCACGCCAGCGCCCCCGGCGCGGGGCCGCCCTGTCCCGGGCATCAGGGAACAGGCTGACTCAGCAGCCGGGCAGGCGGCCCCGGCGCGAGGAGCCCCCTCCGGACGCGGCTGGGCGCCGGCACCAGCCGCRCGGAGCGGCCGGCAGCAGCCGGGATGCCCGGAGCGCTGCTCTGTGCAGCCAAGGCCGGACTGCCCCTCCGGCTGCTCCTCCCGGGCTCCTGCAGCTCTTGCAGGGGGAAGCGGGAGTGGGGGAGCCTCGGGGCCAGCACCGGCCATCGGCGCCTCCAGCAAAGGCGAAGGGACCGGTGAGCAGCAGCCGCGATGGGCCCGGAGCAGAGCCCTCCCTGAGCGCTGCAGAGGGGGGAGGAAAAAGAGGGGGAAAAAAAGAGAGAAAAAATAAAGACAAAATTTTCCCCTCAGAGCAGCCGGGTGCAGATTTGGGTATTTCCATCTTTTCTTTCTTTTTTTTTTTTTTTTGCAGCCAGCATCCCAGCTTCTGCCAGCAGCAGCTCAGGGTGCAAAAACCTTTGGGAAACGTTGCTCAGGGCAGGTTAGGAAAAATTAAGGGTGGAAAGAAAAATACCAAAAAAAGAAGGCAAAGAAAGAGCCGAAAAGGAGCTTGTCCTTCCGTGCGAGCCGGAGAAGGGTTAAAGGCGGTGAGAAGGAAAGGTGAAGGCCGCGGGCGGCAGGAAAGGGGGGAGGCGGCCGCGGCGCAGGCGGGCGGCGCGAGCGGGAACAGAACATCCTGTACCCGCGCGGCCAAAACAGCCCGGCCGCGGCGGGGGGGCCGCCGGGGAGCCCCGGCCAGGACGCGCCGSSYGSCGGGGCCGCCCCGCCRGCACCCATGGGTGCTGCTGTTGTGCCTTGCGGGGGCGGGTGCAGCGGTGCCCAGGACTCTGCTACGGCGCTTCGGCTTCCTCCTCCTCCTCCTTGTCCTTGTCCTCGTCCCTGCTGGTGTTTCGTGCCCCAGTGCTGCCGGCGCAGGGGAGCATCGGGCTGGGCTGGGGTGCCCCTCACTGGCTGCCCCCCCTTGCTTGGCTCCCTTTAATATGGAGTTCACTCGGGGGCTGCCAAACACAGACCCCCTGCCACTAAATATATAGGGCTGGGCTGGCCAAGGCCACCCACCGTGTTCCTCCCCCAACCCCCCATTCCCACCCCTTCATTCCAGCCCCTCTCCAAACCCCCCCATAGCAAGTGGGGGGCAGAGGCTGGGGRCCCCTCCGCGCTGCAGGGGGACACATGGCACCCTGCCCCCCAGGGCCGAGCCACTCTGGTGGCCGCGTGGGGGGGCCCGGTGTGTGCGGGGTCCCCGCGGCTGTGTCCAAGCCACAGCTACGCCTGGCCAGCACTGGCACCSCCGGCAGCATTGCGGTGGTGGGGGCATCACCCCTGGGCTGCCTAATGCCCCCCAAGAGCTTCCCGGCAGCCCCCCGGGGCTCCACGTCCCCCCCCGTCCCGTCGCCCCAGCTGAGGGTGTCCCTGAGGTCACAAGGGGCCTGGCGGCGGCGGCGATGGGCGGCTCGGCCATGGCCGCCTGCTGGGACAAGTGGACAGGCCGCTACGTGCTCAGCGTGGCCACAGGCGCCGGTGCCGTCTACCTGCTCTACAGGACCATCCAGGCGGGGCTGAGCTGCCCCCCCGGCGGCGCCGAGCCCCCCAGCATCGCCCGTGAGTGCCCCCCTGCACCGCGCCGGCAGGGCCGAGCGGCCGTGCGGCGCTGACCGCTGCCCCGCAGGGCTGGCCATGGCACGGGACGGTGGCGACTCGCGGGAGCTGCGCAAGCTGCTCACGGCGCTGGGCCAGCGGCAGGACGGCTACGCRCGCAGCATGGTCCTCAACAGCATCACCCGCTGCGTCTACCTGCTGGAGGCCGAGGTAAGCGGCACCGGGGCGCACAGCGGTGGCGCTGGCACCCATGGGCACCTCACGGTGCCCACCACGCGKCGCTGCCCGCAGGCGACCGCCTGCACTGCCGAGGACATCCGCCTGGTGGCCTCCTGCCTGGAGGAGGGAGACAGGGAGATCGCCATCCAGGCGCTCAACGCCCTCAAGGCCTTCGCCAGCATCCGCAAGTTCCACGCACAGATCCAGGCAGGTCGGGGTGCCGGGGCACCGGGGTGCAGGGACTGGTGGCTGGGCTGAGCGGCACGGCCGCCCCGCGCAGGAGTACGTGCCCAAGGTGCTGGAGCTGGTGACGTCCACATGGGATGCGGAGATGCACGTGGCCGGGCTGCGGCTGCTGCAGGCGCTGCCGCTGCCGCCGCCGCTGGAGCCGCTGCTGCGCCGCGCCGTGCCCGCCCTCGTCGACTTCCTGCAGGCCGACGGGCCCCTGGCGCAGGTGAGGCCAACGCAGCCCCGGGTGCCGCAGGCCCCGCGGGAATCCCAGCACGGCCCGGGCCCTCCTTCGCACAGGTGCAGGTGCTCAAGCTGCTGGTGAAGCTGGCGCACAGGGAGGACCTGCTCTACGACATCCTCAACTGCCAGGTACTGGGCGGGCACGGGGGGACACGCGAAGCACCGGCACCCTCCTCTGTCCCCCGCCACGGATTAAAGGGGACCCCGGTGACGCCGGCAGGTGCAGCCCGACTTCCTGAGCCTGCTGCACGCGTCGCAGCCCGGCACGCTGCTGCGCGAGATGCTGCGGCTCGTGGAGGTGCTGCACGAGGGCAGCCAGCGGCCCGCGTTCCGCGCCGCGCGGCGCCCCTTYGGCGAGCGCTCGCTGCAGCGCGCGCTCTTCGGCGAGGACTCGCGCCTGGCCGAGCGCCTGCTCGCCGTCTTCGTGCACCCCGAGGAGGAGGTGCAGCTGCAGGCCTGCAAGGTCATCCTCAGCCTGCAGCTCGCCAAAGAGGACGCAGCCAACGGCAGTGCCGCGGGTGCTGATGCTGATTTCGAAACCACCTTCGGCTCCTTTGAGAGCTCCTTCTTTGAGGGCGCAGAGAGCACCAGCTAAGAGAGCAGCCCGCCAACTTGACCACCCCCAGCGCCCGTCCCCATCCCCTCCRTCCCTGTCCCCRTYCCCATGCGAAGATGCCACTCGGTGACTCAGCGYGAGATGCTCTTTACTGGTGGGGGTTGAGCGCTGCGCGGCCCCGCGGGTCCTCGCAGATGCCGTAGTTGGTGTTGGTGATGGCGCCCACGATGCTCTTGTCAGCTTCGCACTTCAGGCCGCTCTCGCAGGGACACTTGTAGTAGACGCCGTAGATGGTCTGTGGGGCAGAGGGCAGGGGTGTGGGGTGAGCAGGGGAGCCGGCGCCGCGGTCGGGGGGGACGCCCAGCACCCGGACGCACCTTGGGCGAGCACTCCTGCGTCTCGGCTGCCTTGGGCATGCAGCGCGCCAGGCTCAGCCCACTGTCACGGTGGCAGCAGCCGCTCTTGCACTGGGCGCTCTGCACGCAGAGCTCCCCCGTGTCCTGCAACACAGGAYGGAATCAGCAGGAACGCGGCCGTGCCAGGGCCGCTGGGCGGCGAGCGGCAGGGCTGCGGCGAGCGCAAGCCCTGGGCACGGCCGCCRTGGAGCTCCAGCGGCGCCCCGGCGAGCGGTGCCTCCTACCAGGTTGAAGATGAGGCCGCGCTCGTGCGGCGAGCCCAGCGCGCCGGCTGCCAGCAGCAGCAGCAGGCAGAGGAGCGGCGCTCTGGCCATGGTGGCATCCTGCGCCACCGCCACCACCCCCCTTTATAGCGGCGCCCGCCACCAGCTGACGTGGCCGCTCCTATTGCGCCCGACCCCTTGGCATGGCACCGTGCCAGGAAAAAGAACACCAGGGACACCCAGCGGCCACCTGACCCAGCCGGGGTTTTACCCTTGGCCTCTCACCTGCCACCTCCAGCACCGGTGCCTGGCGGAGCTGGATTCCCTTCAATGTGTCCAACCTGCCTGTGACTTCCATGGTGCCTGGGTGGCCACGGGAACAGCCCTTCCTTAGGGAAGCAGCTAAAAGCACCCAGGGACCTTGATGRAGGTGGCGCCGAGCGCACGAGCTCGTGTGCAGCAAGTGGGCGCTGAGCCAGGTGGCCCAGGACCTGCTGCCTGGCGGCAGACACTGCCCGTGGGCACCCGCTCTGCTCCGCTCCGCGGGGCCGCGGGGCTCGGGGAGGCGCCCCTGGGAACGGAGCAGCTTTGGCGCTGCTCTGGCAGGGATGAAGGCCATGAGGGGAACGCGGCCTGGCCAAGGCCTTTGAGCCCGCCGGCTGCTCCGTGGCAGCAACGCGGGACGGCCCTGGCATGACAGGGAGCGGGGCGGTCCCTGGGGCACATCCCAAGGTGCATCCTGGACAACACAGCACATCCCGAAGCGTGTGGTGCATCCCAGGGCACACGGCGCCTGCCAGGTGCCTGGCAGGGCCTGTGGGTGCCAAGGGTCCCTGGGGAACAAGCCACGCAGGCGGCAGGGGCGAAGGGGAACCCCAAGGCACAGGCACATCCCGGTGCCGGTCACAGCGCCGGGAGCACACGGCAGCCTGCGGCACACGCAGGGACGCACAGGCGCAGGCCGGGAGCATCCCAGGAGCAGCAGCTGCCGGGATCCCTCCCATGGCGCCGGGAGCAGCCCGGGGGGACGGAGGGACACGCGGCGGGGCGCGTGGCAAATCCCAGGCTCCTTGTGGAGGCACCGGGCGCATCCCGGTGCATCCCGGGGCTGGGACACGGCGGCGGGCGACAGCCCCCGGCGCATCCCGCGGCTCGTCCCGCCCGGGGGCGGTTCCCGGGGCGGGGCCTCCCGGCGCATCCCGGGGCTCATCCCCGCGCGGGGGCGGTTCCCGGGGCGGCGGCTCCCGGCGGCTCCCGGGCCGCGCTCCGGGCCGCGCGGGCGATGCCGAAGCTGCTGCCGGCGCAGGAGGCGGCGCGGATCTATCACACCAACTACGTGCGCAATGCGCGCGCCATGGGCGTCCTGTGGGCCCTCTTCACGCTCTGCTTCTCCATCCTCATGGTGGTGACCTTCATCCAGCCCTATTGGATCGGCGACAGCATCGACACGCCGCAGGCCGGCTACTTCGGCCTCTTCTCCTACTGTATCGGCAACGCGCTCACGGGCGAGCTCATCTGCAAGGGCAGCCCGCTCGACTTCGGCACCATCCCCTCCAGCGCCTTCAAGACCGCCATGTTCTTCGTGGGCATCTCCACCTTCCTCATCGTGGGCTCTATCCTCTGCTTCAGCCTCTTCTTCTTCTGCAACGCCGCCACCGTCTACAAAGTCTGCGCCTGGATGCAGCTGGCGGCAGGTGAGCGGGGCCGGGCGCGAGGGCACCCACCAGTGCCGGGGCCTCCCAGCACGGTGGGATCCTCTTCCTGGGCTGTGGGACACCTGAGACACCCGGTAACTTGGCCCCTACCTTTCTACACCACCTCTCACTTTAATAATTAATTAGCATTTAATAATTAAAGCAAGAAATGGCTCCGGATGGGGGTCTGGCTGCTCCAGGGCCCTTGCAAGGGCACCGGCTGCTCCTGCTGGTCTTGCGGGTGACACCAGCGTGCCCTGTTTGCAGCCACAGGGCTCATGATCGGCTGCCTCATCTATCCCGACGGCTGGGACTCGGCCGAGGTGAAGCGCATGTGCGGCGACAAGACGGACAAGTACACGCTGGGCGCCTGCACCGTGCGCTGGGCCTACATCCTCTGCATCATCGGCATCCTCGACGCCCTCATCCTCTCCTTCCTCGCCTTCGTGCTGGGTAACCGCCAGGACAACCTCCTCCCTTCCGATTTCAAAGTGGAAAATAAAGGTGAACGGGGCAAGCGAAACAGCTCGCTGCTAAAATACCGCGTTTTAAATACCGCTTCTTTTCATCCCCGATTTGCTGCCTCGCATGAGCTAGGATCGCTGTGCTGAGTGGGGAAGCACCTGCATGTGCACGCTGGGGTTCCTCCTCCTCCTGTTCACAAGGAGGAGTTACTTCCAGTTATTTCCTGCTATTCCTGCTGTTTTCCCCCCTTTCCTCRAGAGCAGGCCTGGAAACCCCCCCTGCTCCCGGTAACATCTTATCTCCCTTTTGCTTTGCAGAAGACGGCAACGAGGGATAGCGCCAGCAGTAAGCGGCGTTCAACAGCTCTCCCCTTCCTCCCCAAACACACCAACAGCAACSGGGCGTGCGGAGGACAACGCAGGGAGGGACGAGGGGACGGTGGCTCTGCGGCCACGGCGGCACCGCGCTTGGCCGCGGCTGCACAGGAAAGGCGCGTTCCTGCCGTGAGGAAGCAGACGTCCCTGCGAGGGGCAGGAGAGCCCCAAGGGCCACGTGTGGCCCCGCTCGGTGCTGGGGCGCCTACGCTCCCACCTCCAGCTCTTCTCCCGGCAGCAGCAGGGACCTTTATCTTTTCCTTTGAAATGACTTTTGCAGGAGCATTGAGCTTATCGCCTTCCATGGATTTTCTGCAGCTGCTTTGTTCCCGCAAGGGGCTGCTCCATGACCCCAGCTCCCGCCTGGGAAGAGCCCAGCTGCCCYGGGCACGGCCGCGGCTTCTTTGTACAGCAGCTTTCCAGAAAACGACTTCCGAATAAAAAAATAAAGTGACAAAAAAAAGTGGAAAAAAAAAGGTGTTCTCAATTTCAGAAATGAGCTGGGGACACTTTCCCCCTTAAGGATGGCTCGGGGTGCAGGGAGTGATCTCGGAATACATTTAATCCCAGAGAAACCAAAGGACATGCTGACTATCAGACACAGAAAATTCAACCAAGCGAGCAGTTTCGCAGAAGGAACATAGGAGGAGGAGGGTTCAAGTATTAAATAATCTATTTATTGTACTGCTTTTACAAAGAAAAGATAAAGCACCCAAGTAGAAAGAATAAAAACGTATTTTCCTTCAGGTTTTAGACTGACACAGCAAGTACAAACCCTTCAGTGTGAGCACTTGATGGCAATTCGGGAATGGAACTAACCCCAAGGGAAGGACAAGGAAGGAGCCCCAGTCCTGACTGTGGATCCTGCGGGGCCCCGATCCTGAGCAGGCTCCAGCCTGGGGGAAGGGAGGGCAGGGCGTCCCCGCAGTCCGGGTGCTGGAGGGCATGGCGGGGAGGGAAGAAGCTCTCGACACCCCTGGAAGCAGATCCCTGCTCCAAGATCTCCTCCTCTGGGACAGGCTGAAGTTCAGAGGACGGCAGAAGCTTSGAGACCCCAAGGGGAGGCGCTTGCCCTGCCGGGGTCTCTTCACAGTACTTGGCCAGTGGCAGGTTTGCTAGAATCCAGTCCTGGCTGCAGCCCCTCTGTTAAGACACGGAAGCGACACTGAACTGGGATTACTCCACGTGGAAGGGGAGTGGGGGAGTCAAAGCAGCAGTTTCAAACTGCTGTGGTAACGTTTCCTTCCTTTAGTTTTAGATTAGATGCATAGAGACCCTGATGTACCCCTAAAGGACACGCAGCACGAGCCGAATCAGGCACCGGGCTGGAGAAACTCCTTGCAAGAGGCTGAAACGCCAGCACGTTTTATGATGGAGCAATCCTCACGGACCAGGGCTCCAAGGCCATGTAGGGAAGCGATGCGGGAGGGTCAGGACAGCCGCTGCAGCAACACCCCATAGCGCCCGCTCAACCTCCTGCGCCTCTTCCCTCCTTTGGGCACCACCACCAAGCCGAAGGCCCCTGTGCTCCAGCCTCCCAAGTCTCGCTCTTAAGGACGCACCCCATCTGGGATAAGGATGGACAAGCCTGGAAGAAACCATCGTAGACCTACCAAAACRCCACAATGATTTAGCTTTTAATTCACATTGAACCCAATTACTTATCACATCCACATCCCCCTCTGAGAAGCTCAGACAGTTAAGTCAAACAATTTATTTAGGGTAGCTCTAGAACCAGCTTCTAATCCAGCATCTACATGGAAACTCGGTCGGTTCTCTCCCCTCTATATCAGCTCCCCTTGTGTTCTCAGCCCAGAAAAATGCCAGGCAGCCCCGTGCCAGGAGGTTATTTCCGAAGACCAGTGCCTGAAGTAAGTTAATGCCAAAAGAAACCTTGGAGTTGGGCTTCAAAGGTTGGCTTCCAACCGAGGGCTATGAATTAGCTGGAACAGATGCTGCCACCCTCCMCCTGGGAACACATAAATGGCCAAAAGAGCCTGAACCCACGGTCTCAGTGACAGCACAAACGCTGCAGCCACCTGCAGCGAGGCAAAGTGCCAGTAAGGGATCAAACCCCCAAACCGTGGAGCATTAAACACTGGAAGTGCTGCCTGGAGCAAGGCCACCTCCCTGTGGCCAAGGGGAGCACCCAGCRCGTGCCAAGGACCACGCTGCCACCAGGCCCCTTTCCCACTTATTTTCATTGCTGTCTTTTAGTCGCAGGCCCTGGCCTTGGAGAACCCACTGTGAACGCTGCTGAATGTGGAAACTATTCTGACTATCCGGGCACGGGGAGCGGGGACAAAAGTCAAGGGGTGGGGGCACATTAGGGCAAGAAATCAATGATGCTAAAACCTAGACTTAAATAGTTTGTCTCAAAAGATTTAGGCAGCTAAAACTAAAAAAAAAAAAAAAAAAATGTGACTGGAAAGCAAAGAATAGAGCAGACACAGGGACAGTAGAGGATCTCAAGGTCTTTGCTCTACATGGAATTAACAGCACCTCAGTGGCCTCTGTTACTTCTCACCCCCTTTGCCAGCTACTGGATAAACAGCGGGAAAGTGACTCCTGAGCCTGGGAACTAAGGATGAGTTCGGATCTTCTTGTCCCCCTCATGAACAAAAAACAGTTGGAATTTAGTCRCCTAAGTCATCTAAGCAGAGCTGAGCTCACAGCTCCCGCACATGCTGCGTAAGAGGGAGGGGACTCGGGGAAAAAAAAAAAACTTCATATTCCAGTCAATTAGTCTTTGGCAAAGTCCTGTCAAGGCAGATGATGCCCACTGGCTGAGGAGAGTCCCCATTGAGTGACACAAGCAAACTCAGCAGAACACGTTAGGTTTATCTAAAATCTTGGAAGCCTTGGAAGGAAGAACTTCACACGGAAAATGAACACGGAAGGAGAAAAAAATGGACTGGGGAAAGGGCAGCTGGATGTGTGTATGCTATGCTGTAAACCAGAGTGTAGTGCTGGGCACTGGGTGGAGCCTTAGGAGCTCAGCCAGGGGTGCCTGAGACACTCGGCCGCTGTAGCTCGTTTCTCCGGGATCAGCTCCAGCATAGGCAATAAGAAGTCTGTGAATGCAGCTGCCTCCTCTTGGGCCCACTCGTATTTTTCCACCAGAACTTCAAAAAGGCCCCAAGGCTTCAGCTTGGTGATGTGCTTCAGATCACCTGAAAACCAACAGAGAGGCRTTATGTGCAAATGAGAGCAGCAGAGCTGCTGACCAAAAGCGACCGTGACAGCCTGAGTACAGAAACCCAGTATTTTAGCACAAGCAAAGGTGTGGGCAAGCTGAAGGAAGAAGTGATGCAATACCGGCACATACTGCTAAACTTCATTCATCATCTATTACACAGGCTGACAAGGACGAGCTATGCTGTTCTGTAGACTTTCAAGTACGTGCAGAATTGAGGAAGTGATATTACAAAAAAAGAAGGGGGGCTGGATATTYTGAGTAGGTGAAAAATCAGTTTTGAGTCTTAACACATTTCTGGTGTACACAGGGATTTAAGCGTAGCAACAAAGTAAAATGGGCTTGGCTTCCTGCTTAGAGCAGAAGGTCTCTGCACTGAAAAKCAAACTCTGGATTTACCAGCATGACTGGAACCTGCTGCCTGCTCTGTGCAGCCTCTTCCCAAGCTGAGGGGCCTGCCCTGCAGTTATCTTTATACTCTGAAGCAGTGGGGCTCGGGCTGCAAGGTGCTGCTTAAGTGATTGGCACGCCAGAAATAGAACAAAGTTGCCGAGAAAACACCTCAAAGGAAAGTAAACACCTCCCTCGACAGAGCTCATCATGCCATGAAGAGCTTGATGATCAGCTCACGACAGTTGCACATCAAGCCATCTCAAGTCTGGGGAGCTGCAAACGGAACTGTTCAACCTGCCACATTTGATCTACACCAAGATGCCAAATGTGGCGATGTTGTGTATTTTTAGCAGACAAATATACCTGCTATTTAGCTTATATGCAGCTTCGCTGACAAAGCCTTTCGTAAAACATCAGGAAAATTTAAAGATTTGTCTTTATTGGGATCTATTTTTAATTTCATTTTTTAGCAAGGTACTCGTGTATCAGGTAGGGGAGAAGGTGACATTCGCTTTTTTCTCTTTTACCTTTTTTGGTGAAAAACTCCTTGGAATATTTCCCTGCCAAAATGAGCTTGCGAGGTATTTTCCCCAGAAGTTCTATGATCAAAGCGATGTGATCTGCACATTTCCAAGAGAAAAAGACAGCATGACAAATCCATACAAGACATCCCTGCTCCCCAGTTTCCCCTTCTGCGATGCAAGGGCAAAGGGCACTTAATCTATCTTGTAGATCTCAAAGGAATTTGCAAGGAAGGCTAGYTATGCACAATGTAGTTTAGTGTCCCTTGCATCCAAGGGTGTTATAACATAATCCCAGAGGTCTCACAATGAGCATTACAAACATAGCTGAGACACTGGGATAACAGAACCTGACATCAGATTACAGCAGGCAAGGAAGACACTGACATGTGGTGGTGGCTGGGGAAGAGGCAGGACCATCTGCAGGGTCAACAGTCTGAGAAGATAGGGAGGACAGTGGTGAAAGGAATGGTAAATACCACAATAAAAAACAGASTTTTACTGCATGGTGCCTCATTGCACAGCCTTAATCTGAGTTTTCTCCAACACCACTAATGAGGGTGAACATCTTTTGGCAAGGAACTTTTGCACTGCACACTCCTAAGGGAAGGCTCTCCCTCTGAGGAAGCCTCCATTGCACCTCATATCCAAAATTAAGGAGGAAAGACTTAATTGCACCTTCATCCCTTGAGTAATCTTCTCCAGAATGAGGTTCAAACAGATAGTCTCCTGTTGCTAATTCAAAGGCCTAAATAAACAGAAAAGGGGGAGTTATACCAYGGGAATGCACTTGCACATTGCTGCTAACCTGTAAAAACACTAATATACCACTAACATTTTAGTATGTACCTTGCTCCATTTCATAACGTCATAGACTCAGAACTGTGATAAACTCTGCATCAAAGTTAAATGGACAGCTAATATGTTAAGTTTGCAATTGTACAAAACAGAGGCTTGTCACACGCTTAGCTGTCTTCCTCCTCAATAACACTTTGCAGAACTTGTTACCATGTCCCAGCTCTACAGATTCCTATTTTTATACTATGGTTCTTCCCCTGCAGTTTCAGATGTTAAAAAGATCATTTCAACACAGTTAATCTTAGAACATTCATTCCCAGGTGTGAAAATGCATTTGAAGAGAGAAGGAAAAAAAGAAAAAAAAGAAAAAAGCACATTTTTCATTTTACCACTCCTAAAGAGTAAATATGTCATGGGATTTATGATCTTTTGTTTTCACTCAAAACCCTATCTATGACCTCCTGTATTCTTCATTTCCTCTGAGGACTGATGCAGTCAAACTATGGAACAACGCACTCTGGAGTCCCCATGGTTTTCTGCAGACAT